ATTTTACAATCTACAACCCATTTGCACAGGTTGTAGCCCTTTCAGGTTGAATGCAATTCATTGCTGAAGTCCTTTATTGGTGAACACGAGCACAGCATTTCTGGGCTGGGATAACATTTGGACACTTTAAATACAAATAACCCTCCACATTCCCCAGTGCAAGTTCAGAAATAAGTATTTGATTTGATCGTAGCGTATAGGCTAATATTCCCAGTATACCATGGATAGGCTGGTCTAAATCAGGACCACAGATATACTCTATTATCTTATGGTCTACTATGAATTAATTTCATTTGATTTTATTCCAGAATTTATCATCTCATTCCTATTCCTTTGTACAGCACCACATGGGTTGAAGGTGCTTTTCTAAATCAGTGATAATGTGTCGGTCATAATGACTCGGTGGTAAAGGCGGACAGACTTGGTAACGCTCTCTGACCTTAAAGGAGAACTATGGGGTCAGGGCTTTTCACCATAGTTCTCCTAAGGGTAACGGGAGGACACAAACTAGCGTCCTCCCGTCACCCTAGGCTCAGTATACCACGAGCTACAGCTCACTATATACGGAGACCGCCGTGGCCGGGACGGATCCCGACAATGCTGTCTAGATCCGTCTATCTATCTAGAGGCAGAGCCAGCTGTACCCGCCCCCTCCCCTGTCCGTTCCACCAGTCAGCATTGGAGGACCGGAGCGGGGAGGAGTCCCTGCAGGGAGCCGTGAGTGACAGTCACGGCTCTCTGCACAGATCGAGAAGTGAGCAAACGCCGGTATGTGTTTGTGTTGTGTGTATGTGTATGTGTTTGCTCACCTCCCGATCTACTGAGCCGACCTGTGACAGTCTCATTGTCACAGGTCGGCTCAGATTATGAGGCTGAGTGAAAATGACTCGCCTCATAATTCTCCTTTAAGGCTGAGTGGACACTAATGTTCTGTGTGTGTTTGGTGTAGAACATTACCTCACGTGCACATTAGAACATTTTCCACCTTCAGAAATGAAGAGAATTTCTCTCTTGTATCTAGAGGTCTGGTTATATCGCTCCGCCATTACTCTACATACAGAAAGGTGTTTATTAGGTGAGAAGGTATCTTGATTGAGGCGTTTTCTTTTTTACTCCTGTAACTGCTTTGCACAATTGGATAGCTGACATCATCAGAATACTTGGAGTAAAACTGGCAATTTGTACATTTGAATTATTCTGCCAGTGAGTGAGGAATGGGGTATGTTTCCTCTTCCACTTTAGACACATGCCAACCCCCCATGGGGATATGGTGCAGGTCTGTGAATGGGCCATCTCGCATAGCGTGATACACATTCTGTTGTCATTTCTATAAGCCGCCACTAGATGGCACATGTAGAAAGTAGTTGTTGGTGTTCAGGTTTGTCTTTATGTCGAGGATTAGTCTTTCTTTTCACCTGTTGGTAAATATGTGTTTTATTTTATCCTCCCTGAAGGAATCCTTCAACAATGTAAAGCAGTGGCTTCAGGAGATAGATCGTTACGCCAGTGAAAATGTTAACAAGTTGTTGGTAGGGAACAAATGTGACCTGACTACAAAGAAGGTAGTGGACTACACAACAGCGAAGGTAAGAAGCGGCATCTATACAACCAAATTATAATACATGAATACAAATGTGTGGAGGTTCCAAGTAGCCATTTAGAGGGAGTTTTATTTTACTTCAAAACTTACTAGCAGCATTTGTTTTAAAGTATTCCACATAATGGATGGTACGGACATCTGATAAATGGATATTTTAGTCCAGTGCATAGCTGTTCTAGGAAGAGCAAACTAAATGCAAGTTGGCTACTAGGAGAACTATGAATAATACTGCAGCTGACATGGCTGATAATTATAGATATTTTCTATGGAAGACTTGGGATACACACACCATTAGATAATGAAATAATAATACAAAAAATCGTTTTTATCTAATTAATTGATACAATCGACCAACTAATCGGTTATGAAAATAATTGTTGGCTGCAGCGCTACTCGGGAGTTGAGGTACAATAACTAATAACAAAAATTTATCATTTGTGTATCACTCGGCCGTAGGTCCTCAAATCATCTCTGAATTGGTGCTGACACTGTCCTTCCTTCTGGAGGGTGACTACTTTTGTTCCCCATGGTTCCTGTGTATTTTGTAATGTAGCCGCCGCTCCAAGCTTGCTCCTGTGATGGACTACAATCTCATCTTTAGTTTACTAATTTATTTTGATACTATAGTCTATCATGGGAGTGAGCTTGGAGCGGTGGCCACTTTACAACACACACAGGAACATGGGGAATGTAAGTAGCCACCCTCCGGAAGGAAGCACAGTGTCAGCCTAATTCAGAGAGGATTTGAGGATCTACCGTTCCATCCATGCTTAACAGCATGCACGGAGGTATCTCCACTGCCAGCTATTGCAGTCAGAGAGCTGCCTCAATACCCAGACAAGTGACTGCATCTGATTGGAAGCAGTCACTGTTTGACCATTTACCATCCAACAAATTCCATTTTTCAATGTCCTCCTGTGACTCAGTCAGCATCTAGTGGGCTTTTGCCCGCTATATGCTGACAGTGCAGAGCCGTGCTGCAGCCAGGAAAGATCCCAACAATATTGTTGGGATCCACCCCGCTACCTGATTGACAGCTGGCTCTACCTCCCTAGAGCCAGAGCCAGCTGTGCCCGCCCCCTCCCGTCTGTCCTTCCTGTGAATGCCAGAGAGAACGGGGAGCGGTGACAGTCATCGCTCTGCAGGTAGAAGTCCGTGAGCTAAGGATCAGTATTTGATTGCTCAGCTCTCGATGTATAGAGCCGACCTGTGACATCCGCAGTGCACCACACCGGCTCTAAGTATTAGGAAGAATACACTTTAGGCTGGTCATACATTGCGGGCTCCATGAACACTACGAGTGTGTAGATCGAGGAATCCCGCTGTTTGCGTTGTATTCTGACAGCGGCCACCGTCGGGAAACCTTTCCTTGAACAAATGAAATTCTAACGGTGAATGTGGCTTTCATTCAGGAAACTCCATTCATTGCAAAGTCGAATGTTAAAGGTCAACAGCATTTGCCGAGTTTCCAATCCCCAAGTGATGGCATTATGGAATGTTCTGATGTCCGTACAAGAATGTAACCTTGTATATCCAGCTCCTTCCTAGCAAATCAAATCCTGTTCTCTAGGTACTTGTGGTTAGATAAAAGGGGAAGACAATGTGTTATCTCTCAGTGACTGCATTGATTGTTTGCCAGCCTCCTCCCTTTCCTTTCCTACACTGTCTCACTCTTCCTGCTGTAACGGGGGAATGTTATTCTGATGCAGTCTTTGTATAAATTCCATTAGGAATGACGATTTCCTCCTCTGTTGGGAAGTTCAGTGTATGATTCAGCATTGGCCAGACTTTGAACCTGGTCCAGTTTTCATAGCTCATGCGTTGTGTTTAAATGTTTGTGCGTACAAGTGTTCACACTTCCCATCTGCCATTTTCAGGAATTTGCAGATTCCCTGGGAATTCCATTTTTGGAAACAAGTGCAAAGAACGCGACGAACGTAGAGCAGGCCTTCATGACAATGGCTGCCGAGATCAAAAAACGAATGGGTCCTGGAGCTACAACTGGCGGCGCAGAGAAGTCCAACGTCAAAATCCAGAGCACTCCAGTCAAGCAGTCCGGCGGAGGTTGCTGTTAAGACGGCCTGCCCCCTAAATCGCCCCATTCCCTCCTCACAGCAGTGAAATCTCAATCTGAACCTAAGTGACAAAACAAAAATTGCCTGAATTGTACTGTATGTAGCCGCACTACAACAGAATCTTACCGTCTCCCCAAAGGTCAGCGATTGTAAACGCTCAATACTGACTTTTTTTATGCCCTTGACTCAAGACAGCTAACTTCATTTTCAGAACTGTTTAAAACCTTCACCCCCCCCCTTTCCCTCATGTGTACTGGTTTCTCAATACTGTGTGTAACCCTCGTTGCTTTACTAATACCAGAAGCCCCCTTCCTTGTGGTTGGTTAAATGACCCCCCCTTCCCCCCCTCCCCCTTTTTTTTTTTTTATGTTTCAATTGGCATGTTTAGGATTCGGGTTTAGTCTTCTGAAGATGAAGTTCAGCCATTTTGTATCAAACAGCACAACAGTGTCTGTTGGTTTCCATGCATCAATAAAGTTTAGTGAGATGTTATATGTAAGATCTGATTTTGCTAGTTTTTTTCTTGTAGAGTTCTAAATGGAAAGATTCCACTTCTCTGATTGGCCTCATTGGTTGGCGGAAGAGCCTGCAGCACATTGTGCCTCAGCGCGCCGCAGGCCCTTTCAGCAACAGAAGCGAGACTAGTTTCTTCATACTCTGCATATAATTTTGTGGCTGCAGAACATTGTGATTTGTTGCACAACATGTAACAAATAACTGAAGAAATGTTTAATAAATATTGTACGTATTGGAAGTAATATCAAACCGTATGGTGATAAGTATTGTCTTAATTTGTCTAGAAATGGGGAAAATGAAGGCATTTTAGTTTAATTTTCCATGACCAACACTGCCCTGCATGTGATGAATGGGAACTCTTCTACCAAACTAACAAGTGCTTAACTAACCCAATCAACTGCAACCACTATATTGCTTGACTGGTCTGTTTAGTAATGCTGAATGAGTACAAGTGGGAGAAACGTCTCGGTCTGAATGTGCAGTGTTTGTCCTCATGTAATGGGACATCCAGTTTCCCTAGCTCTCTCCTTCGGTTTTTAGATTCTGCAGAGGTGTACAGCAGTGCAAGTGTGACGGTGATGTGATTTTGCCACGAACTTTCTATACCCGGTTCCATTTTCCACTAAAGCGCACCTGTGTTTGTGTACACGGAGGAACAACCGATATTTACCGGCAAGACTGTGCACGGAACAGGTCCACTTTATTCATTGTTTCACTGTAAGCTCATCCCCAATGACATGTCACTTAAGTCCTAGGCTGGAACGGCAAATGTAAGAATACAAGCTATATAAAATAGAAAGCTCGCACATGAAAATCACTGCACACCAAGAAAATACACGACTTGTATTGAACAGTGGTTCTAAAGATGAATCGGTCCTTTGATTGTATATAGCAATGAAACGTCTGCGGACGGCTTATAAGTCTGCTAACTTATGCTACCTATAGAGGTTGAAATTTGGAAGCCTGTGTGTGTGTCTTAATAATAATAAAACTTGTTAACACTGAATGTGTAGTAGTCAGACTTGGTCATAAGCTGTAGGCTTTTCGGGGGGTGCTGCTTGGTAGGGTTGTGTTTAATCACCACGATCGTGCATAGTGACACTGAGCAACTTTCATCGGTTGACGGAAATCTGACAGGTGATGATTTCTGTTTGGTTGCTCTGGGTTACTCTACTGCTTGAGGTTCTCCTTTTAACATACACTTGTCAATGTACTAAGGGTACCAGTCAGTGGCTGCACACACCCTTAGGAATGCTCTTCGACAGTCAAGGAGCCCATATCTCGGGCTGTTATATTCCCTAATGTTCAATACTTCTGGTAGTGCTGATTGCCCCCCCCATATGTTCTTGTGGCCAGTAAGTCTGCCCACCATATGATAGGCCAGTAGGATCGTGTAGAACATTGGAGGGGGCTGAGTCCATCATCAAAACTACTGCAAACTGTCGCACTTTGTAGATGACACCAACCCAGCATTTGTGGCTCCTCGCATGCATGAGAGAGCATCTAAAGATATGTCCAGGCACCTCTTGTTGTCCCGCCTGACATTCTGGAGCCTGCTCAGTTCCCTTGGGGTACCAATAGGAGTACTTGTGGCATTGTTCCATGACTCCTTGGAATACTTAATTGCAATGGTCATGTTACTTATAGTTGCTCATAGTAACACAAGCATTATGTACAAAATCACTACAATCCCCTCATTGACATGTATTCACGTTTGTTTTATGTCTGGCTATTCTAATATTTTACACCAGACCAAAGCCTTCCCTCTTTCTGCATACCTTTAAGATGATCACTGTGCTGCCAAGCTCTTAAAGGGGTCTGATCACACTATTTACTTGTGCTGATGTGTCTCATTCATTCTAAATGGCACCCCCAACACACCTTACCAGGTGTGTTGCGCTGCCAATGAATGATGCGTGCGCCACACTGCAACATGTCTGTTAGGGTGCCATTTAAATGAATGGCATTGCATCTCAACACACAACGGGGGGAATTTTCTCAATCTGGCGCAGCTGTGCATGGCAACCAATCAGCTTCTCTCTTCAGTTTGTTCAGTTAAGATTTGAAAATGAAAGAAAGAAGCTGATTGGTTGCCATGCACAGCTGCTCCAGTTTTGATAAATTGCAGTGAAGTGTGTATTACCACAAGGGCATTCTGTGAATGGGCCCTGACAGGATTACAGCATCCATGTTACACAGCTACTGGTCTTGTTGAATGTAGCCTCTCGCTATTCAGAACCAACAGGAAGTGGTAATGTGTGCCAAGGTCGCAGTGCAGTCACAGTATCTATATTCTTATCAACTCTATACATTCCTTCTCACTTCATATGTAAGCACCAATAACACAAGATTTTCAAGAATATTTCTTTATAGTTTCCATAAAGAGACACTTTAGATACAAATGGAAATATAAAATCGGCAAGGTAGTTTCACGCATACAGTTTTACTGAAATCTTTCTAGAACTGGAATTAAGAGACGTTCAGATGAACAATGGATATGAATCTCCTCACTGCAGTACAGGTGGAACCCGGAGGGAGAAAAGTCACCACGGCAGTCATTTTTATACTTGGAAATGGGTATTTATTTCAACCAACTTAAGGGGGAAAAAGTATTGTATTTTTGTTGCTCTGAGCATGCTTACAGCAGATCTTCATGTGCTTAGTAATCCTTTGGGGGAAATCAATCTTCAACACATAAGAAGGTGAGATCTTAAATAAGTTTCCTATCTTACTAGGGCCATATGCTGCACATAGACTGACTATACATGGAACCAATAGTCTAGCAGCAGTTTTATAGAGAGATGGTGGGATTGTGTCACTGTACCAACAAAATGACACATCTGCCAATGCCATGAAGCTGACACAATCTGTGACTGATGCAAGTGCAGGTTAGTACTAGATTCAGCTGGTTGCTTAGCGGTAACTTATCTGGTTCATGCTCCAAAGTCAAGTCTATCCTAACGGAAGTCACCAATGGCAGTTCTTATATTATGACACTTTACCTGCCACAAGAAATTTGCTTTTGTGGTAAAATGATTGCCCTTTTGTATTCAAGTGCCTATACTGCAAATAAGGTCATGGTAGAAATTACCAGCCAGGGATTGCCTTGTGTTTGGGGTAGACATTTTCCCATCAGTCAGCGATTAAAGCCTGACCTTACGGCAGGTGTAGCCATTCTCTTTCTCTATCCAGAAGTGCTATATAAATCCAAAGGAAAAAAAAATCAGTTGGAAACTGCGACCTCCTCCGCTGACACATTCCCCCACAGGGTTGGGCTTTAATGTAGGGGACCCCACGATTAAGCCCAGCCTTGTGGGTTAAACACTTTATAGTAGGAGATCACAGGTCCCAAGATCTTCTTTGGATGTGTGTAGTTTGTGGGCCGTAGGAAGATACCTGCTGCCATTCAGCACCCAAATTTCCACGAGGGTGGCCAAATTCAGGGCTTGGGAGCAACGCATCCTATACTTTTATCAGAAGTTCTATAGGTTTGGTTTTTCTGTGTATATGGCCATAACCATAAAATAATCTGCCTGCTGTTCAGGTGGGAACACTTCTTATATGTGACTGGCTGGAATTGTCTCTCGGTAATCTTCAACCACCTGTACTGCTGTGAAGGGATTACCATCCAGATGACACTGCACGGAGCACTGAGAAATATTCTTGCTCAGATTTCCCCTGAACAGTTCTTTAGCATTGGACGGTTTGTGTTTGCTGTACCTAGCCGTGGCACAGTGTTAGACAATGCTTGTCGGAGTGAGTGCACTTTAAATAGATTTCGACCATTCCAAAATCGGAAACCAAGTCTCCACATTGTGTCCAATCCATCCTCCAGTGTGCATTATCTGAAACACAGAAGTGGTTAATGGTTTTGATTATCTGAAGTTATTATAGTATATTAATGGATATTTCATTTTACATTCTAGTAGAAAGCGGGAACAGAGTAATGTTACCCCCCCCCCTGGATTCCGTGTACTTCTGTAACTATTATTTGGGTATTACAGCTAATGGGGAACAGTGTAAAAAAAGACAATATGTAGCTGTTAGAATATCACACTCGTCTGTCTTTTCATCAGCTAGTTTTAGGATATGTTTTCCAATTTCACTGTCTGTAATTTAATATAAATTTGATTGGAAAACTCATTTTCTGGCAGTGTGGCAGGACTGTTTCTTACCAGCAAAGCAATGTGCATGAGAACTGAATTCTATTTTGAGAGCCCCATGTTGGCTTTTTGAGTTTTGTCTAGTCCTCATGTGTGCATAGTCTCATGCACTTCCAGTGTACTCTGCCATAACTGTGCGTCCTCCACAATCTTTAGACTGTAAGCATTTGAATAAGGACTCCTATGAAATGGAATGTGCTTGTAAAATCTTATCCTACTGTTACTTGTATTGTTCCATCTATGTATACAAGCTGTCATATAATAAAAGTATCAAAACTGGTATATTTGGTAGTTCCATATAATTAATTATCGTGACGAGATCACACACATGAAAAGCCTCTGTCCTTTATTTAAGACCTTCAAAAATAATGGTGAGTAAGGTGGAATGTGCAGGCATGTGTTGCCCTCAGCTGGAGGTATATGTCCTTTGGGCCTTTCCCCAGATGGTTGGGCCCAGTGGAAACATGCGTAGGCTTGGCATTTGTGCTGATGTAAGATGGGGGCCTTTCTTTGGTTTACCACGATCACAATCTGTGCAGTTTCTATGCCCCGCCATTAATACTTGCATGATTATGAAAATCTTTGGAGCTGTTGGTACCATTCACCTGCTGCACGCTCACATTCTCCATTCAGCACTCTTACAGACACCCACCAGGTAATGGCCAGTGTCCATTCAGGAGCCTGCACGATCCAAGCTGGCCACAGCAACCGGCTCTGATCTGTGGTTTGACCTGCTCACTACTGCTTGGCAAAAATTGTTCCAGCCGGAGGAAAGGGGTTTTTCTTTTTAAAGACTAATGCTAACACTTAACTAGAAACATTCACTCTCTTGCTATATTTTATCCTTTACATCCTGCTGGGTTCCATGTAGTTGGAGCATAACACTAAAATAGGCTTCAAGCATCAGAGACCCAAAATGTAACATTCACCTCAATATGAGAACTTTTCTCACATAATAATAATCAGTGTGAGATAGCAGGCCTCAGGTGTTCAGTAAGAATTGTTGATTTTCTCGTTGTCTTGAAGAACACTGGATGGTTGTTATGAACGGCAGACGGCTTTACTTTTCAAACACATTGATGTATTAACCTAAATATAAGACTGCTTGTACTGGCGTGTTATAGCAAATTTGGCCCAAATACTATAAGCTCATTCATTTAGGGCTGAGGCATAGTGTAGTCCTCAAGGAATCTTACTAGGGCCACCCTCAGCTTGTCTAGGTCCCATATAGGGCTGCAACAACTAATCGACATAATCGATTATTGAAAAAGTTGTCAACTTTTCCAATAATCGATTAATCGGCTTCCGATCAGCTGGCCCTGTTTACAGCTCCACACGCTGTAACAAGGTAAACATTTGGGTTCCTCTCACTCAAGATGGGCCACCAAAGTCTGCTGACCTGGCAGTTGCAGCCCTCACAGCATAAGCCTGGATCCTGGAAGGCAAGCTGCAGAGTTTAAGGCCTTGTTCATACCAAATGCAGAGCAGATCTGCATGAGTTTCTGCACATGCAGTGGGTTGTGCTGCGTTTTTGATGCGTTCCAGGCTGTTTATTAGTAAACTAAATATATATATTTTTTTTGTTTAAAATGGGCCTTCAGTGTGTTCCAATGTGTTTTCTATGCATTTGCATGCGTTCCAGAGCAGGTAAAATAGGGCTTGCTGCAGTTTTTTCACCTGCTCTGGAACGGAACGCTGCAATGTGAACTGGAGCTAAAAATACCATCGGAATACATTGGGCGCAGCTTTGCTCCGGTCTGTAACTGCTCTGCTCCTGGAACGCGCTTGGTGCGAACAAGGCCTAAGTGTACCTCAGACCAAGAATGTGACATACTGCAGCTTACTAGTCTTTAGAAGAGGTGGCTGCATTGGCTTTCTTTATTCCTTTAGTAGTCCTGTGACTAACACTTCCTGTCTTAGGGTGGCTACACTTACTTACTCCGCCACTGAACCTAGGGAGGGAGCCATGGTTGTACCTAAGCTGGACTTCAAACATGTCTGCCTATCATTACATGAGGAGACGAGTGCTGACAGAAAGGACTCTGCCTTTCTAGCAAAATCAACCGGTATTTTAAAAAACCCCCACCTATGCTAATCTTTTTTCCTCAAATCCAAATCTAATGAGCTGCTGTGCTGGATTATAAAAAAAACAGATAGATCATACTATTAATATAAGCTTGGAAAATGAATGGAGCTAAACATCTGAGGACTGGTAAGCTGCTCTACACCTGATCTTGGCTTCAGATGAAACAAATCCATTAAATCCCAATTTGAACATTAATGAAACATCTCCTCCAGGACTCTGACTGTCTTACTGAAGCAGAGTACATCTCCGTGTCTTATGAGCCCATCTTATTTCCTTCAGGTCTGGCTGTATACACATCAGCAGTAAGAGCATTTGCTTTGTTCCATGCAACCAGCAGCACTATTCCCCATTCTTCTCTGGCTCTCTTGTTTCTCACTCTCCCCTGCTGGAGGAGTCTGCAGCATCAGTCCTTCCCCTACCTCCAACCAGATGCATACTGGGATGTATAGTCCCATTGAAGCTACACCCTGGGGTGTGAAGCAGAAAGATAAATGACAGATCCCAGAGATGGGTCATTGATAAGCGGTAAAGTGAGATAGAATACCACATGGAGTCAGTATCATGTTGAAGTGTTTAGACTGCGGGCTGGCTGGACAGAATCCTACTATAGTTCGTTCATATGTCACAGAAACAGTCCATCCTCTGACATAAGCCTTATTCTGCTTTGAATGCATTGTTTGGAGTAAAATATGAATGTGTCATGTTAGAATGTTTAAAGGGACGATTTGTATTAACCCTTGCAGTGGGGCTACCCCCTCCACTGCCTTTGTCAAGTGCTCATTCTGGCCTAGGCAGGAAAATCAAAGTTATACTGTACTCACCTGATCCTTGGAGTCTTTTCTCTCCCCCCTCTGCTGCAGCAGTCTAAGGTCTGTGAGTCATCACTTTCTATACCCAGCGTATAGCATGTGAGGGCACTGAGGTCATCCCATCAGAGCAGCGGAGGAGACAAGCTGGGAGGAGCACTGTCATAGCTGGCCAGCTTTGAGGATCGGATGAGTACAACTTTGTGTTTTTTTTTCCTCCCTAGACCAAAACAAGCACTTAACCCGTGCAGTGCAGGGGTAGCCCCACTGCAAGGGTTAATAAACATTTTGCCTAGAGTACTTCTTTAAAGCCTAAGAGTTTTTATTTAATTTTGCAAAGGGTAACAGCCTCTTCTGTCTTTGCCATCCATGTCCTTCCTGGGCTGATTGTTCCTGCACTTCCTTTTAGATCAGGAAGGCATGTGAATACTTTCCAATAGGGACAAAAAAAATGTTGGTACAGTGGTGAAAGGGTTAGAACCTCTGCCAGTTTGTATTGTAGTCTATGCCTTCCTGTCCCAGACACAGCCATGTCATTTCTTGTGCAGGTGTCACAGGAAGATCTTCCCGGGGGAGGAGGAAACAGACAAATCACTCACATTTTATCCAAAACATTTTCCACTTGAGCTAGAATGTTCAGATGCTTTTTTTTTATTTTTATGTGACTTGCTGTGTGCATGGAATAGTATGTCTGCAAAACTCCACCAACTAGGAGAATCCTTTGCTCCCTATTGTAGTAACAAGCTCCCAGAGATTTCCAGCTAGCCCTGCTACTCGGGTTTCCACATTGTAGTGTCATGTCAGACGACATTCCTCCTTTGCTTCTGCCGTCGTCTTTCTTACCTAACGTGACTCCATCTCCACGGAAACCGGTTGTTTTGGGTTACCCAAGCCTTCATCAGTGATAGTATCCATAGCTTCAAGAACCGATGCGTACAGGCGCTCGGTGTGTCTTTCAAGCTCTCCAGATTGTTTGGAAATTAATGCCAACGTGTCCTTCAGAACTAATGAGAGGTTATAGAAAAGGTCACTGTAGCATCTCCACTCATAATTCTTCATGAGTTTGTCAGTAAACATACACAAGCAGCGTCCCTGCTGCCCTACAAGTCATATCTAAGAATTAACTCTACACCCTCACAGTCTAATGACTCGCAGGTCATTGTGTGTATATATATTGGATACGGATAGTTCAGTACAACAGAATTCCAGTTGTTTGCTAGTCACTTTGTAGCCTTTGTTTAGAGGCATCTACCGTGTTCATATAATAGAGGTACTTGTTTAATATGTCATGGCTCTTGTATGGTCAGCATCATGAGGGCTTGTGCACACAGGTGCAGTGCATTTACTACATAAAACTCAGGATCTGGGGCGGCAGCAAGATCCAATGTTTTAAATCACCCAAAAACTACACACCTAACATTACAGTATCATTTACATGTGTACAAGCAGAAAGCGTTAAAAGGAGAATTATGGGGGTAAGTGTTTTCCCCCATAGTTCTCAGGGTGACGGGAGGACATAAACTAGCGTCCTCTCATGACCCCAAAGCTCAGTATATAGCGAGCTACAGATCGCGGTATACCGAGACCGCCACAGCTGGGACGGATCCCAACATTACCGTCAAGATCCACCCAGCTGCGTGAGTGACAGCTGGCTCTGCCGATCTAGAGGCAGAGCCAGCTGTACCCGCCCCCTCCCTCGTCCGTTCCGCCAGTCAGTGCTGGAGGATCGGAGGGGAATCCCTGCAGGGAGCCGTGAGTGACAGTCACCGCTCTCTGCACAGATAGATCAAGAAGTGAGCGAGCGAGTGGTACGTGTTCGTCCACTTCCCGATCTATTGAGCCGACCTGTGACAGTCTCATTGTGACACGTCGGCTCAAACTATGAGGTGAGTGAAAATCACTCACCCCATAGCTCTCCTTTAATGAAGCTGTATGCATGCAAGCCCTGGCACATAAGCAGGCCCATGGACACAGATTTTTTATTTTAATCTTACAGATCTGAGCACAGCGCAAGTTTACTGATCCTAATGTAACAGTGTGTATGGGGGAATGGAAAGCATACGTCTGCATTCTGATCCATAAAAAGAAGAAAACAGGAAAAGTCCTGTGCCTGAGCTCTTAGTGCTTTTGTTCTCATCATTACTACTTCCACTGTACTGGCATCTCATCATTACTACTTCCACTGTACTGGCAATGTATTGGAACACATATATGTGTTGACACACACACTAAACAAATGTTGTTAGCAACTAAATAAATTTGAATTGCTAACGGAATTCTCTGCAGCAGAATGTAAACAATGGGGAGGAATAGCCTGCTTGCTATTGGCCATTTCAAATTGCAATAGCAGGCTAGCTATTGAAACCCTGCACACTTAGCAGAGGAGCGGACCCTAGAGAACTTTCTCTCTTGGATCGGCGCCTCTGATCAGAGGGCAGATTTTAATAGCCTGCCTGCTATTGCAATTTGAAATAGCCAATAGCAGGGTGGCTATTGCTCCCTCCCACTGGCGAGGCAAAATGGGGCATCTACCATCCACGTGGGTTCCGGATAACTGGAGTTTACTGTAATTGCATCTAAATTAGCCAGATAAAACAGTGATTAATAGAGAACTATAGCTATACCTTTTTTGTTTGGCCTTGCATCTCTTTCGGGTCACAGGAATACATTTACTAATGTACGCATGGGATCCAAAGTCGGCATATAGTAGGCTACTGTTCACTCACACTTGTCTGCTTGTCAGAATCCTAAGGGTCCGTTCACACCACGACGCCCTGTGATGCAATGTGTGGAGCCGTAATGAATGGGCTGCAACTCCCCAGAACACAGGTACTTTGTTGAGCTGTATGGAGGTGCCATTTAAAATGACTGCTACTACAATCCACCATCATAGACTGGTGTAAACAGACCCCAAGCGGAGTGAGGTTTATAAACAAAGACTTCAGCCATTTATCTGTTTTATATAGACTGCTTAAAAACTGTCGTGCGCACGTCCACAGGCAAAAAAATTTTTTTTTACCCGTTTCCAGTGCACTACAAGTTGATACCCAAGGGTCAGGTGTAGTTGAAAACATGCGTGAACACATGCTACAACATGCACAAAACAATGTCAGTTTATCAAAACTGGAACAGCTGTGCATGGTAGCCAGTCAGCTTCTCTTTCATTTTCAAAACTTAATTGAACTGAATAGAGAATCTGATTGGTTACTATGAGCAACTGCTCTAGTTTTGATAAATTCCCCCCTGTGAATGGGACATTTTACCCGATGACAAACAAGTCTTACCCAAAGAATTAACTGCCATACATTTCACCAGCGACTCTCCATCCTTCAGAATTGTATTAGCCAGTGTTCTCTGCTCTGCTACATCCTTCTTCAGTTTCTGCAATGGACAAGTGAACATTGTACAATTATTATGCATTCAATAGGAAATCTTTGCCACTCTGCAGAGCTTTCAGCTGAAAAAACAATTCATTGCATAACCTTTAGGCAGAGCACAACAGTTATCCAAACACTGTTCTAGACAGGAGTCAACAAATCCCTGGTGGTAGCAAGCGGCATTTTCAGTAAGGGCGGCCTCCATGTTTCTTTCACAGAGATATTCCAACATGTTACAGTTGCTCCTCTTGCTGCATTCACACTCCATTCTCACCAGTGTTGCTGAATCGGTTGCACAGTTTTGCTTCAGAAGGACCACATATGGGCCAACCTTTTCAGAAAAGGCTTCTGGTGCTGAAGACATCAAGGCCAATTCATGAATCTCAGAGACCATGTAAGGAACATACTTTAAACGACATGCTTGAGACTCAAAGCGTAGCTAAAACCTAAACCAAAATGCAATATATTGCAGCTTACCGGTCCTTAAAAGTGGCAGCTGCATTCCTTTTCTTTTTTTCCCCAGGCAATTTCCCTTTATTCTCACCTGGTGATCGCGCAAAGACCACATTTCCTGTTCTTCCATGTCTACACCCATGTCTCTATTTTACACTACAGAAGGAGCCATGGTTGTCACACAGGCTGGACTTTAAACATGTCTGTCTTTGTTCATCTCCATTACAAGGTGGATTGATGGGACTAGCACACAAGAAAGAGAAGGATCTTTGTGCTTGCTTTTCAACTCACCGGAAGTGACAAGGACACTGGGGTTCTGGCAAGATCAACAACAAGTGTATTTTGTACTTGTTAAAAATATTCTTAGCCTAAGAAATGAAAAACGAATGCAGCCACCACATGTAAAGGACTGGCAAGCTGCAATCAAGCTACATTATTTTCATTTAGAGCTAGACACGCTTTAAGCCATTGTTTTACTGCCTTCCAGGTTTTCTGTTTGTCCTAGACAAGGTATTTTAGGTAATAAAGCAAGAAAATGAAAAAGATATCAAAAATGTATTTATTAATAATATAACATTTCTGGCCAGAGAGGTCAAGGTGGTATTTTTGAACCAACGTATTTGATCTCTCATGGCAACTACAGGCCAATAACAAAATTGAAGTTCAATGAGGCCCCAAACTGTCCTGTGTTCACAAACGCTTCACTTCCCTTTAACATTTCACAGATAACCAGCAAGGCTTTCCTTACTGTGCAATTCCATTTTCCCAGGCAAATTTGGGAAAATGGAATTACCCCCTCCAATCTGTCCCCCCCCCCGCTTAGATCTTACCTGTCAACCATTGATCATTCCCCTCCATGGCTCCCGGTGTAATATCCATACTCCAGATTGCAGGCCTACGGTATGCATTCAAATTTCGTTAAAAATAGCAAGCTTCACATTGGTCATGACAGTCAAGTGATCGCCCTGACCAATGAGTGCTCACCATTTGCAAGCAAAAGTTGAAATACATATTGCAGGGCTGCAATGCTATGTATGGAGTACGGATATTACACTGTCAACCACTAGGGAAAAGAAGCGATCATCGACAGGTAAGAGCAGCAGGGTTAGTTATGTGGGGGAGAGGGGGCAGATTGGTGGGGGCAATTCAATTTTCCCCAAATTCACCTGGGAAAGTGGAATTACCCTTTAAACCTTGAAATACTGCAAGTTTCAAAATCTTGCACTATATATATTTTAATAAAAAAAAAAACAAGGAGACATTTAATAACATCTAAGCTAAGTGCTGCAGTTCTCTAGTATTAAGTGAAAGTAATCTAGACCTTTAAACAGGGAACATATGCCGTTAATCTTTCTGTATCATTTCATTTTAACATGTCTGTCAAATAAAGTGAAAATCTTACCAGGTAAACGCTCAGTGATAGCTGTATGCTCTCCACACTGGGCTTTGGGGTGCTCCATTTGTCTGTAACCTCCGCAACACTGTACAGCCATTGTATTAGCTTGTCCAACTGGCAACAGAATTTCTAGACCAAGTGTAACATATCACAATGAGTTTGGCAGTATATACAGTCTGGTAATATAAAACCTAGTGTATGAACGTACCAGGTTCTCTTACCTGTTAATGCTATTATTAATTACATGCACCACCAGGCAACCACTGAAACAACCCTTGTGTGCGTGTTCATGTATAGACTGTGTATTTTCACCAAAACATTCAATGACCTATATGCAATGCATGTATAGGCACACTACAGGCAGGATCAATAGGTGAAAATGGAGAAAAGACTGAAAAGAAAACTAATGCAGGCATCACATCTAAAAACTGGTAAGCTGCAATACAGTACAAATGTGTGTTCTTGGGTGTGCATACACTTTAACATGTTTATTCTGTGTGAAATATATACTAATGGTAGTACTCACATCACTACAACAGATGCACATGTATGTAGAGAACAAAGAATACAAGACTGAGTCACACATATGATGCTCCACCAGGCATACCACTTTGTGGTAGAAAATCTCCACTTTTATGACGGCTTCCTTTATCCAGGAGGCACTTCATGCGGTAAATCTATATTTTCCTTGAACTGGACCTGTATGACTGCACATAAAGCCAGTAGCCTTACTGGAATCTGCTGGTCTTAAAAGGTTTCATAGAGAGCCGTTCAAGATAAGAATGAAGGGGATGTGAGCCATTAACCTATGGACGCATAGGACCTGTGGAGACTACTTAACAGATGGCAGTAAGTACAGCTAAGAAATATAAAAGGTGAGACTCATACTGCAAAAGATGGAGAATCGTTGTAGAGGGAATTAAAAGAGTTGCTTTATTAAAATTATTTTAGGAACATATTCTTCCAATTTTTGATCCTGGACCTCTAAAAAAAAAAAACAAGAA